ACTGGAGTTTTAAGGTATTTTTTTCTGCTTTTGATTCTGTTCTCAATGGATTATGCCCACTGTGAGTTCACTGATTAATGAACAAATCAAATATAGCATGAATGGCAGAGCCAGTATAAGAATAAGTGAATATTAAGAAGAAAATGTAAGCAATGAGTTTCGAAGAGAAAGAGTGAAGCCTAAAGACAAAGGCAAAAAAACAAAAACAATAGAAAAAAGAAAGATAAGGTAGGTAGTTCTATGGATAGTGGAGAAGTAAAAAATGGCGGCAGGGAGGGGATAAGAAAGCAAGTGAAGCATCATTTGGGGGTAAATTAATGTAACCAAATGTGTCCTCATTCTGTGCTCTTTAATAGAAATTATTGAAACAGACAAGATTACCAGCAAAGTACTATGATCTATTAAAAGTTCAGAGAAAGTATAACAGCTGCCTCATTATTAAATAGGAAAATAATTAAATGCTAAATCTGCTTGATAATTATAGTGGCCCAGGGTTGTAGCTATAGAGGGATGATGCATAGTTCTTTTAGAGAGAGGTCAGTCAGTCACACAGAAGGTTTCATAGGGTGATGCTACTTTAAAGGGATCATCTCAGTTTAGAGCTGGGGCCCATCTCAGCATTGTGGATCCAAAAAAAAAAATCATATTTATCATTATTTACTGAGATGATGACACCTTGAGTCTATCTCACAGTACATAATAGGGAATATTCTGATACTATTTAAGTTACCCGCTTTCTACATCAAAGGACCTAGGATGCCAGATTAGGATTCTGATGGTTGCCAATGAACACAGAATCAGAACAAAGGGGAAGGGAACAATAACTTTAAATAAATCAGCAGAGAAAATGTTATGAGGCACAAAGGCCATGTGGTTCTGGTGTTAAAAGCCAAATCCTTCTCATCAAAATCTGGTAAAAGTCACAGATTAAGTTGATTTCCATTTATAAATAGAAAGCGTTATTTTAACAGAATCCTTTGGTGGAATAGTGTAGATGAAAACCTATTATTCGCAATTGTATCTGAGAACAACAAAACGTCTTCTCATAAAAAAAAAAAAAAAAAAACCTGCAGTGTCTGCATGTACAGTTAACAGGCTCGTCTTTCTGCTATGACTGTTACCATTAATCAAAGGTTGTCTTCTGCTCCTCTGTCTTGTCTGTCGCCTCCAACATAGGTTGATAAACAGGTGCTATCTGGATATCCCACAACCATTCATTCTTCTCATCTGTATCTCATCACGGCTGTGTCTGCCGAGCACTTACTCAATGCTTGCAGACTGACTGGCATCCAATCTAAACAAATTGCTGATCTTTCCAGCCATTTAATGTTAAATAGGTCTTCTAAGGAACATTGGACAAATAGCTTAAGAAGCCAGATTTAGCATCTAAAGATTGGTTGACATTTCTTAAGTATACGTAGTTTAGGGACTGCTACAGCTTTAAGGAACTTCAATTTGGCCTAGAATTTGGCATGTAGAATCCTAAACTTAGACCTAGAGCTGTAAGTAATTTTGTAAATTACTGGAGACAAGACCATCTGAGCCCTAGATGACCAGCATGTTCAGCTGTAATTTATAGATCATTGTCCCTTGAAACCATGGAATTAACATTGGGTAGAAATAATTAATTAGAGTAATTAGTAAGGTACCATTTATAAATCCACATGCAAAATGCATAGCAATCTTTTGCTTGACCTAATACTTCTTTCAGCGCACTATGAACCTCGCAGAATAACTGATTTCTGGTGTCCGAAACATGGTGACGTATTTTAAACTATGATGACAAGGAATAGTAAAGTAATTAATTCTACCTCATGGAAGCTTCACTTTCCAGCCTGAGAACTAAACAATACAGTGATTTCATTGTAGAAACCATAATTGGAATTTTCTATCCAGGCTAAAAGATGGCCTGAGTCTCTGAGATGACTTAAACGAGGCACGGTACCCAGTCCCTCAAAAAAGAGGAGCAGGAATAGCTTGAATATGAACTCACAGGAGTTTAAGAGTCAAGAGGATTTAAATTGTCCTATTAATCTTTGCAGTTCTATTGTGAGCAGAGAAACTAGCATTTAGAGGAAAGAAGTGTTATTAATTAAATATGTGTTGAAAAGAATGAATAAGTGCATCAAGTATTAAAAAGACAATGAAGGAAAATAAACACCTGATCTCAGATGTGAGAATGTGTTCATGGTAGTAGGACATAGATATACTACATGCAGAAAAGTGCATGTAAACATTTAACAGATATGCATGGTGGTAGCAAGTGTAGTAGGTAATGGAACATAGCAGAGGTGTTATTAGCTTCTTCTAATGACCTGGAAGTCAGCCTGGACTTTGGAAAATGATACAAGAGAAGATAACTAACTTGCTGTTCAGTTCTTTCTCATTTTTCCTGGGACCCCTGTGTGGTCATTCCAGGAAAGTCTATTGCATTGATCCAAGACCATGGAGTTGGCTCAGTCATTCATGACAATGATGTCACATTTATTGAGTCTTAACTTGAGAAATCCAGCCCTTGGTCTCAATCTCAAGTATTCTGGGAAAGGTCCCACAGTGTCTGGGGAAATGTTACTTAGGTATTCAAGGAAAGATAATTTTATGGTCTATACCTTAAACCTGTTGATGTTGATTTCTCCCTATAAGAGTATTAGCTTTTTCCTTTCATATTTTCCATCTATTTTAGAGACATTTTCATCAATAATTTATCTTTGTGGGTAACAAATGTCTACTGAGGGGTCTTTTGTGAATTTTTGGGAAAAAAATGGGGCAATATTATTAGCTGAGAATGCATGCATCAATTTTTATGAGAGGTTGATAGGTTTTGTAGTTTTGTGGTAGATAAATCCAGGTTTTGGATAATTTTTAATCAGAAGAAAGCTGAAAATAATAACCATTTTCTATGATTACACAACAAAATTTCTCAGTATACATTCCTAAAGAAAGGGACCTCCTCTGTGGTGCTAATTGCTATTGAAAAGATCTTTCTTCCAAACATTCATGGATACCAGTGGTGCCCAGAGTTAAACACTAAATTTATTATATGGGTTTTATGAGGTAGACAAATAAAATTCCCTGGCACCAAGAAAAAGGGACAGTATATATAGAATATAATGTGGAAAAAGCAAATGAATAGATGTATCCAAATACAAAAACAAAAAGGCACCAGTGAATACCATGATTCTAAAAGTTATCCAAGAAAGCTTCCTCAGATGCTTTAGACTTGTGGAGAACACGGTGAAGTAAAAGAAACTTTCTGGATGTGGAGATAAGTAAAAAGCACTTTGCTATGATTCTCATAAATCATCATTGTTATCTCTATCATTATTTATTGGTCAAAAACGTATTCATCCAATGCATTTTAAAATTAAATCCTGTGCTATGTATTAGGAAAAAACAATAAACAAGGCAGAAAAATTCTCACTTATATCAGAGCAAGTCTTGTAAATAGGCATTTAACCAGTGAGATTTTAGTGATTCGGAACAATTCCTTTACCTCTAAATATCTCTCCCTTTCACTTGTAGCATTGCAGATAATTTTTCTGGCTTGTCCAGTTTCCTATAAAGACTGAAAAAAAATTAAATATCCATTCATTTACTTATTTGTTCAAACAATTTTATTATTTTGAGTATTGGTACCAGCAAAATATTCCAGAAGCTAGGAATCCCCATGTAAAAGTAGTCCTTTGCCTCCAATGGACTCATAGCACATTATTTGCCTGTAGACACAGAAAAATAAGCAGACATTTACAACATAATCTGATATGTGCTGTCACAGTGATAAGAGGAAACTGAAAATGGAGATTCAGGATGGTGCACCTAAAAGAGATGGCAGATAAATCATGGAAAGATCCTCTAATAAAAAATATACACATTAAAATTCGGTTTTCTGCTTGTTTATTTTTTTGAGCTGGAGTTCTTGCTGTACTGCCCAGGCTGGTCTCAAACTCCTAAGACCAAAAGATTTTCCTACCCCAACCTCCCAAGTAATTGTGATTATAGACAGTTGCCACTGTGCCAGGTTTTACTAATTGAATTTTGAAGTAGATTAAATATACTTAAGGCTTTTGAGATGAAGACATGGTCACAGTGGAATGCTTCAGCTGCGGGGATAACATGGGGTCACACTGATGGAGTGTGGTCCTCTGTTACTAGGCAGGTCAGGGAAAAGGGTGTAGGCAATTCACTGAGTGAAAGATGGAGCACAGGCTAATGGCTTGGGATAGGGTATGTGAGGCAGACAGAGGGGGGAAGAAATACAATGCTAAGAAATTAAAATACCTAGCATAGACTTTGCAGGGAGTCAACAGGTCACAATTTGCATTGTGCATTTATTTTGTCCAAAACTCCACAAACACTTCTGCAGAGTTAAAATGACATATTACATTTTCTTTAAGAAACTTGCGGCTGTATTAGCAATGAAAGCCAGGACAGTGCATGCAAATAGGCAAAGCAAGCAATCCTATACCATGGAAGAAGACAATGAGATTGTGATCCTACAGGGTCTCTTGGTAATTGATCAAAACATATAAAATGCTGCTATTTTAAATGCCCTTCCATGATTCAACTAGCTTACTTACCTGCTCCCATTGGAGTCTTCCTTTATCCTGGCTTCAGAAGGTACATGGGGAGGTTAGAAAGGAAGAACTTTTCTAAGGATACTTGGTAAAATAAAGGAAGGTATTCAATTTGTCTTTCTTTTACCATTTGTAATCAATTTTTTAAACAAGTGACTTCAATGCCCAGAGAGAAAAGTCAATAAAGGTATATCACTATCTAACAAATCATTCACATTCCTCTTCATAATTTCTCTTTCAGATATTTAACAGCTTGTAATGACTATGACTTTGCAGGCAGTTCCCATAAGCTATGTATGCATTATTAATAAAGTTCTATGACTGAAAACTTCCATCATTGTAATGACTCTTGAAAAGCACAGGTTTACTCAAACCAACAACACATGGTAGTTTGTCACAGTTTTAACATATGCATTCTTCTTGCAGATGGTTGAAAAAGAAGGTTATCTTCAAAAAGCTAAAATTGCAGATGGAGGAAAGAAACTAAGGTAATAAAATTCTTTAATTCATTCTTATGTAACTATGCTGGTTCCCATATCCTCAACTTGTGCCACTAGCATTGTTTGGAAAGTGAGGCCCTATGGTATTAAACTAGAACAGTCTCCTCTGCTACCTTTACGATCAATATTATTTTTAATGTAATTACAGTTTTTAAAGAAAGGCACTACCTTCTATATTGTTGTACAGAACATATAAATGAGATGCTTTTTGTCCTCCTTGAACTTGAACTCATAAAAAACTGAAAAGAAATAAGAATCATTCTTGATTTCCATGAGTAAAGGATTAGGGGATGAATGCATTCATCTGCAATATATAAAAGTCTCTGTACAATACCTTGCAAGAATAATTTCCTGAAGGATGGAGGATTTGAACCACTTTTGCAGCTCAAAATAGAAATTGATAAAATAAAATTAGCATCATATACAGAGGTGAGAGAAATTTGAAAAGGAAATAAGAACTCTTCAGACCACAACAACAAAAACCTTGAAGAAAATAAATAAGGTTGATAGGAAGGTAAAGAAAGATGATAATTGTGTTGTATATATGGTATGTTTAGAAATAATCACCTCCATTTTAGAATTTTTGCTATTTCTCATATTGGTTCTGTTATATACTTAGCTTTGTGCTGGGTGATATGCAAGCCACCAAATTTGTAGAAAATGCTCAAATTGAGAGACAAGGCATTTACTCATAAATGTGTTACTAACAATTAAAATTATATAGGATAAACGTACTAATTGGCTACACAATGGGACATCTGTTTGTTGTATAATAAAATTCATTACTAGAATGATACTCTGGTCAACACTAGAGAATAAAGTCTGCTTTTGTTTGATGGCTATAGTGAATTTTATATATTTTTTTAAACAAAGTAAAATTTGGGGGGAATCATCCATAATTTCACTACTTAAAATAGCTTTTTCGATTGTAACTAACAAGCTCTATTTTTTCTCCATATTGTGTCTTATTCCGGGATAGCGAACAGGGCCTTAAATCTTTACCTGGACTATTTCTCTGCAGTGGTCCTTCAGCCACCCTCCCTTGAAGGATTCAGGCAAGAGATGCACAGGAGACACGACCAAATGCAAGGTTGCTTTAAGAGACTTGGCTAGTCCCTGCCCTAGTAGTGAATCTGACTTAGAGAGTGGTCTGGTTCTGGAGGAACAACAGGAGGAAGTCTTTGAGCAGCCCAGCCTGAGTGCTCTCCTTTCCCCTAGACCTTATTATGCCCTTATCAACTTAGGAAGGGGTGTGGAAGGTACGATGATGCCTCTCATCAGGATGAGTAAGTCATGACCCTTTCTTCCCTTATCAGCCATGTGGAATAAAGAGTTTCTCTTTATTATCTAAGTTAGCCAGTTCAGCTCTTCACTAGAGCTTGGTAGGAGAATGGAGGTGGCAGTATTGGTCAGTTCCACTCTCCAGCCTCCTGCAAGGAAGTGGGAGAGATCCTAAAAGAAATAATTTCAAGAAAGCAGAAGGAGGTTCTACTGTGTGGTTTTGTAAAGTATCTTTGCCCATAACCCCTCCATAAACCAAATTTACGACATCTAGAAGGCAGTGTCAAGAGGAATCAGAGAAAAACAGGGTCTTTCCTCCAGCCAACTCACATGAATATGTTTTTAGGTAGTTTTGATTAGTCTGTATACCATTGTGTTTCTCTTTTATTTGCTGTTACTTTCTGATTTGCATATAATCTCCATGTTATAGTTAAATCCATATAAACATTTGTTTGTACTCTGTTTTATTATTTCACTTTGCATACTATTATGCATTCTTTCAGCCTTTTCCGCTGAAAGTTCTATGCCTTGGTTTTCCTTTTTGTTGTTGTTGTTGTTGTTACCTCAGGTACACAAAATTGAGTTGATTATATCCTTCAATTTGCGGCCTCGTGTTATCATCATTCTGGGCAAGATCCCTAGCTGATTTTATTTTATTTTAGTCTCCAATCCTTACTTCAATCCCCTGTGGACATTCATTTTAATGTATTTAATGTGTGTTTATCAAACTCATTCTCCATATATGTCTATATTTAGCTATATATGTGGCATTCAGAAAATAGTGTATAGTTGTGTATGTGTGAATGTATTCGATATAGCATAAACATTTTTGTATTATAAACCTTATTATGTTTCTTATTACTTTCATTCAATGTTAGCTCTTGGGCAGCTATCTATGGTGCTATCCAAACATGCATCTCTTAATGATGGGGATGTGTCTTAAGAGACGCATCCTTAGGTGATTTAATCATCATGTGAGCATCGCAGAATGTACTTACACAAACCTAGATGGTATATGATATACTCTATTGCTCCTAGGCTACAAACATTTACAGCATGTTACTGTGCTGAATACTGTAGGCAATTGTAACAATGTTATTTGTGTACCTAAACATGCCTAAACATGGAAAAGTTAATGCATTGCACTTGACATTATGAAGAATATCATGTTACTAGGTAATAGGAATTTTTTGGCTTCATTATAATCTCATAGAACTAAATATCTATATGTCGTCCATTGTTGACTAAAATGTTTTTATGCAGTACATGAATGTCTTTAAATCTAGTTCATTGATGCCCACTTTGCCTTTGTTTATGTATAGTCATGTGGCATATGGTGGCATTTTGATTGGTGATGGACACCATATACAGCTGTGGTCCCATAAGATTGTAAAACTGATGTTTACTGTACCTTCTCTATGGTTAGATAAGTTTACATACACAAATACTTGCCACTATGTTACAATTGCCTACAGTATTCAGTACAGTAACATGTTATACAGGTTTGTAGCCTAGGAACAATAGGCTATGACATAGCCTAGTGTGTGGTAGGCTACACCACGTAGATTTGTATAAGTACACTCTATGATGTTTGCACAGTCATGTAATCACCTAAGAACACACTTCTCAAGAATGTATTCTTATCATTAAGTGAAGCATGACTGTATATGAATTTTTACTTACACAGTCTCCCAGCTGTGGACACCTAAGTTGCCTCTAACTCCTTTCATTCTAAACAACATTTCCATAAATCACACATATTGTTTCTTTTGAAACTGTTAGGAATTTTTTCAGGGGAATATTTCCAGGAGTACAGGTTTGCTCAGTGGTTAGTCACACACATTTGTAAATCTACTGACTACTGTTGCCACACTTTCTCCTGAATTAGTGAACCAATTCATACCAGTTCAATGTGCAATATAGAAGGGATTCTATTTCCACAATTTTATCAGCACATAGCATTATCCAATGTAATTATCCATAGAACATTACATTAATATCGCTTTTACTTGTATTTCATTGATAGCTATTGAAGTTGAGTGTCACTTTATCTGTTTAGAGCCATTCAGATTCTGCATTCAGATTCTATTTATAAACGTTGACTATTTTCTATTAAGTTTTCTGCTTTTTTTTTTCAATGATTTGAGGAAACTTATATATAATGCTTTGTCAATTTTATATGTCTTACATATCCCCTCCAAGTTCATGGGGTTTTTGTTTTTATTGTAAGTACTTTACAAATTGAACATTGTATATGTAATCACCAAGTTTAAGAACATGATATCCCATTATTTTGATGGGCTATATCAAATCATCCTTATCTCCTTTTTTTTTAATTATTATACTTTAGGTTCTGGGGTACATGTGCAGAAGGTGCAGGTTTGTTACGTAGGTATACACATGCCATGGTGGTTTGCTGCACCTATCAACCCATCATCTACATTATGTAGTTTTCCTAATGCTTACTCTCCTATAGCTCCCCAACCCCCAACAGGTCCCAGTGTATGATGTTTCCCTCCCTGTGTCCATGTGTTCTCGTTGTTCAACTCCCACTCATGAGTGAGAATATGCACTGTTTGGTTTTCTGTTCTTGTGTTAGTTTGCTGAGAATGATGGTTTCCAGCTTCATTCATGTCCCTGCAGAGGGCATAAACTCATCGTTTTTTATGACTGCATAGTATTCCCTGGTGTGTATGTGACACCTTTTCTTTATCCAGCCTATAATTGATGGGCATTTGGGTTGGTTCCAAGTCTTTGCTATTGTAAACAGTGCTTCAATAAATATACGTGTATATGTGTCTTTATAGTAGAATGATTTATAATCGCTTGGGTACATATGCAGTAATACAATTGCTGGGTCAAATGGTATTTCTAGTTCTAGATGCTTGAGGAATCGCCACACAGTTCTTCCACAATGGTTGAACCAATTTACACTCCCACCAACAGTATAAAAGTATTCCTATTTCTCCACATCCTCTCCAACATCTGTTGTTTCCTGACTTTTTAGTGATCACCATTCTAACTGGTGTGAGATGGTGTCTCATTGCAGGTTTGATTTGCATTTCTCTAATGACCAGTGATGATGGGCTTACCTCTTTTTATATTTTTGATGTTTGAGTCTGGTTTTATATTAAAAGTGATCATTGCAATAATTATCCTATTGCTTGTCAATTTTTCTGTTATATATTCTTTTTTTTTGTTTCTTTTTTGAGACAGGGTCTCATTCTGTCACCCAGGCTGGAGTGCAGTGGTGCCATCTCAGCTCACTGCAGCCTCCTCCGCCCTCACCCTCCCACCCACCTTATGTAGGGTTAAATGAGCAGCTGGGACCGCAAGTACGCACCACCACGCCCAGCATTTTTTTTTTTTTTAGTAGAGATATGGGTCTTGGCATATTGCCCAAGCTGTTCTGGAACTTCTGGGCTCAAGAGATCCACTCACTTGGCCTCCCAAACTGTTGGAATTACAGGTGTAAGCCATAGCACCCAGACTTCTTTTATATTTTCTAAAGACAAATGTTAAGTCTGGATTACTTGATCAAATTACAAGACCATTTTTAATGACATTTAGTGTGCATTCCCATATTGCTTACCCAAGGAATCTGTATGCCTTTATCAATACTAGCAACAAAAATGGTCTGTTTGGTCATAACCTTGAAAAATTGTGTTTTTATCCCATTGATAGTTTAGTAACTAATAAATAGTATA